AACTCAGCATCTGTGAGCAGATGAGAATTTAGAGATTGTGAACACAGGGCTGCCTGGTTTGACCTCTACCTGGTACTCAGCATAGTTCTTCAGTCCAATGCCAAGGAACGGTTTGAAGGCATCCATGTACTTCAGAAACTCTCCACCTAAGACTGTACACGGAAAATATTCTAGTTAGAAATAAATCCCAACCTATGATGTGTTTGCTGGAGTGCAACAAAACAGAAACCCACCATTATATTCCACCCAAAACCAGCTCTCGTGTGTTCCACAGAAGCACAACAAATCAATTCTCACACAAAAGCTATCAATGAAATATGTCCATCTGGACTAAAGTGAGGTTGGAAAACGCTCGCTCAATTCTCTGCAGGTCTTTGAAGGCAGACAACCCCGTCCTGTGCCTGGAAAGGATGTTGAGATCTGCCCGACTGAGCAGACCCATCGGAGGGAGAGAGACGTGGTGACACATTTCAGGCAGGGCTTGGCACCGTTACGCTGCTTCGCATCAGCTGAAGACTCCACGTCTTCTCACATCACTTCGCTGCCACCGCAGCTGTAGCACCTTCCTTCTGGGAACAGCTGCTCAACCTCTCCAGCACCGAGCGGCTGAAGCAGGGCACTCTTCAGCACGTTTATAGTTAAGCAATATTTGAAGTAAAATATTTCTGCTCTTCTCTGCCAACTCCCACCTTCCCCAAGTCACCTGCATCGCTAAGACCATGCACGCAGGCTCCCCTACCCAAAAGTGAAAAGGTCTTTGTCCCAAGAGGATACACACTTTCATTTTTACTTGCTGGTGAGCTTGCAGTAATCCCACTCAATGTTCTCATTCACCTCCCAGCCTCCTCTGGCCACCCCACATGACATTTCAAAGGGCAGTCGGAGTGGCACCCACCAGACCTGTTCTCCAAACATGCTGGTGTGGTAAGGGGCTACTCCAAAAAGCCAAAACTAACTCTTGGTGCACTTACAAGGTGTCCTGTGCTCTCAGAGCATGCACTTCCACTAGAAACAGGTCCTGTCACCTGCTCAGACCCTCAAGAGGCGAGCCAGGATAACAGCCTCAGGAAAAGGGGAAGACTCCAATAAGTCTCCTTATGAACTGGTCTCCCAAAGACCCATTTCCAAACCACGGATGGCTTTTACTGGAGGCAAGGCAGGGGTGTTAGGTAATGAGGTTACACGTGGACTTTCAACAGCACCTCAACTTTCACACTCATACGTAGTGTTTGACAACAGAGCGTTCCTAGAGCTCTAGATGATGCCACAGTCACCACCTTCTAAACCTGAACCACGAAGCTCAAACTGCCTGGAACACCACAACCCAAATTTTGTTTTACTTCACCCCTTCTGACTCATTCTACGCTGCTCTTTGCCATCGTTATTTCTTTTAAACAAGAACAATGGCTGTAAATCCACCACTGCCACAACTCCACAAAACCACCACGGGTCACGGGCAGCAGCGAGCATGAATCATTAAGACAACATGAAATCTGTCAGACAGCAGCACGAAGAGACCAGGTTCCCATTGTGCTGGGCGCTGTACGAAGCAGCATTTGGGATTTTTTTTCCAGCAGGATTTGCATCGTAGCTATGTCATTGACAGAAAACAAACCATTCATTCACAAAACACAGTCTAGTGTAACCAGCCGGTCACAGATAAACGTGGTGAAAACCATACCTCAAACAGAACCAGGAGCTGGTGAAGTTTTTTGCCATATAGTAAGAAAAAGATGGAAGCAAACCAGTTCTGTCCCCGCTCTGCCTCTCCCTGAACAGGACTGCGCTCTGCAGCGCAAGACTGACCTTCTACCAGGGTGCTGACGGCCATCAAGGCATCCTCCTGCACGCCCCCCGAGCCCGCCGTGCTCTGGAACATTCTCAGCAGAGATGCCATCACCACGTCGGAGATCTGCAAAGCATCCTGGTGCTGGACCTTCCGGAGGACGTTCTGGGTGGGAAGAGAGAAAGAGGCTGTCGTTGCTTCCATCTAGGCAAGGCTGAATCGTGCCTTTTTGCATCTCCTGCGCCAGCTCTGAACACTCGTGACCACGCTGGGCTGCTAAAAACGAAGCTGCTGTTTGAACTCTGTTGCTGCAGAAATATGCTTTGTCAGTGCAAGTGCAAAGTCCCATTCATTTCAGCTGCGTTCAATTTTCCAGCTACAGAACAAGCTGACTCTACCTTTCCTGCTGCATAGGCTGTTCTCCGGGCTTTCCATTTGTGAGCTGGCATTAGATGTGACCAGCCCAAAATTGGTCCTATTAAAAAGAAAAAAAAAAAGCCCTTTTCCATCACAGCCATGTGGCTGCAATCCCTTACTGCCAAGCATGGGCTGCATGAAAGCTTTGCTTCTAAACCACAGCATTAAACCTCAAACATGACACGAGAACGTCCTTGCTGCGAGCTGCAGTCAGACCTCTCCTACCCGGGATGAGCAGAGAAAAAAAAAAAAAAATCCACGTGTGTCCAACGCAAAACACATTTACAGGAAAATGTTTAGCATTGAGGTGTTTGAAAAGTAAAAAATTGATTTCTGGAGAGAGCAGAGGCAGCGTTACATACAAGCAGAGCAGGCTGGTGAGCTCACACGTGCTCTGTGTTATCCAGCACGTTACAGGGAGCAGAAGGGCCAAGGAAATACCCCATGGAAACACCTACACTCTGCTCCTACTACACAGTTCTGACCATCCCTTTCAGCATGGGGACCACGAACACGGCTTCGATGTATCCCTATTTAAAATAAATTCACATTTCCTACGAAAAGAGAAAGGCTGATTCCTTGACCTGCAGAGGAAAATAATTATTTCAAGTCTGATTCTTCAAACTGAGTCACTCCAAAGGTGTTTACTTTGACTGTTTAAATAATTGGTCTTAATTTTTTTTGTTCTATTTACATATTAACAAATATTTTTTTCCTCTGCTGGATGTTCATAATTGCTACGTACTTTTTCTCTTCTGCTGGAAATACAAAGTAGTAGATTTGACTACGTAACACTGAAAAAAATCTCCCTGCTGATTTTTACTTAGTGGTACTTCAGTATCTGCTTTAACTACTGAAGGTTCAGAGCTTGCAATAACGAAGAAAACATTTACAAATGTAAACTAGCAGTTTAATTCCACCTGTACTACACTTCCCACAGGCAGAGGTGTCCTGAAAGAGATCAGTGATCACACTGAGAGATTCTAGATACTCAAGTCTCCCCATTAAAGTCCACCATAAGGACAGATTATTCCCATCTACCCATTATTTGAAAAAATACCCTAAAATTGGAGAGTGAAAGTAACTGCTAATGCTATGGGCTTCGGAATGAGAAGGATAAAGTTAATGATGTCTCAAAAGAACCTGGAGACAACACCCAGGAGACCTCCTAACCTCACTTAAGAGAATGGGAAGCTAAAACTGATTGCCAGGGAAAACAGGCAGTTACCCACGGGTGAGGAAAGGGATCCCTTTTCCCGGGGTAACGGGAATGGAAGAGACAAACTGCAGAAAACACCACCCAACGAAGGACTAAATCAGAGTACAGACAGACACTCTGCTCTTATTCCGGATTATGTAGTACTGCTACACCTCCAGAAGAAAACGCTCCTTCCTTCTCCGAGCTGCGTTGATGCTGAATCTCCATCTATTATAGTTTTAAATAACCGTTAACGAGCTCAGCAGGAGAGCACAGCACCACCCTCCCCGCTCTGCAAACACGAAAGCTCCAATATCGAGCACCACGTATTTCAGAGGACGGTCTGAGCAATCCCCTGAGTGGTTTTTTGGGGAAAAAAAAAAGAAGTGTGGACTTTGTAGGAGCAAGCAAGGAACTGAAACACACTTGCACTCCAAGTCACGTGGGCTGTTCGTTACCAGATGTTTAATTCCAAGGACACTCAGCGCGTTTTAATTAGTGCCATTTGAAATAAGAACACCAACCACAAGAGGCAGATGAACGAATTAAAGCTGTTATGGAGCTTTCTTTGTCCGTGCCAACCAAAGTGATTGTTCAGCTTGCAGCAAACATAAGAGCCCATCTGAAAGCACATACACAATCTTTAACATGCTGCATACGGTGTTCTTTATTCATATTGCCCTGGATTTCCTAAGTCGTGCTCTCCTGAAGCCTTCTGAACCTTGGATCACCTTCCACTTGTCAGCTGGGACACAAGATCCCATTTCCTCCTTCAGATCTCATCACCAGGACCAAGTCTGCATCCTCAGGGGCACAGAAATGGCTCTAAACCCACTTCTTCCCCCATAACCACGACACGGGAGACGGGAACTTACCTGTAGAGTAGCACAAAGAAGGGACTGAAGATCATTGAACTGGATTCTGTCAGAAGTGCTCTGGATGTGAGACTGAAAAAGAACAAAACCCTGTGTGTGAAAAGCTGCATCGCGGTCCATGCGCATCCCACGGATTTCGACAGCACTATGAGGTGTGGAGATTCAATTTTAAATATGTTTCTTCAAATTTAAGAGGTACTGTTCAGAAGCTTCCTATATCTACCTATCTATAAACAAAATAAACCCACATTATCCCACAACGTGTGCAGTCAGCAATAAAACTCATTTTTTCTACAACAGATGAAGCTGCAGCACGACGACAACATCCCACCTACTCGGTTCCCTTAAACCCCTCTCAAAAACAGGGGAGTCTGGGACTCGGGTCTGCCTACCTCCATCTGCAGCACTTGCTGAAGTCGCTCCATAATGACCAGAGTTGTCTTCTGGACAGCAGGGTAACAGTCCTTGGCACTGTTTTTCACTATTTCCATCAGAGATTCATATGCAGAGCTCCTCAAGTTATTCTGGTGTCCATCAGGCCTATAACAGAAGGAATATATTTGCAGCTCCCAGTGCTCAGGCTTGCTTAGAAACAGATTTATTTTTTTTTTTTAGTCAATTGGTAACAGCTAAATTTTAGTGTTGTGACAAGCAGAAGCACTTGCATTTCTGTATTCCAAGACCTGAAAGTAAATGAAATTTCTGAAGCCACTGTTGGAATATTTTTTTCATTCACTATTAATAATGACTTCCAGTATCTTCAGTCCCTGGCAGCAAGTACAGGAACAGAAAAAGCCTCAAACCCACGTCTTCCAGGGTGCTGCTACCCTGCCTGGGACGAGATGGTCTCAAGAGGTGAGCAGCATACATTACTACCTCTCCGACATCCCTCCAAGACATTGGTGAGGGTGTTAAATTTGAAATAAAGACAGCTGAGATCTCTGCTGAGATGACTGATGGGCTTCAGAGCCTTGAGCTAGACACCACGCTTCTGGCTGGATGTAAATTAGACAGGGAGAGTTTCGACTTTGAACTGTTCAGACAGGGACACCCTTTCAGAAGGAGTCCTGCAGCAAAAGGCTTCGACTGACGACTGAACTGATCTAAGGATTGAACTCTGAGCCGTCAAGATTTATGCGACCTTAAGGCAGAACACGACTTCAGCATTACCTTTATTTTTGTACCTGCAGGACCAAGAAAAATATTTTACCTCGTCTATTTAACGGGGGCCTACAAGAAAGCTGGAGAGGGACTTTGGACAAGGGTGTGTAGTGATAGGACAAGGGGCAATGGCTTTAAACTGAAAGAGGAGAGATTTAGATTAGATTTAAGGAAGAAATTCTTCCCTCTGAGGGTGCTGAGGCACTGGCACAGGTTGCCCAGAGAAGCTGTGGCTGCCCCATCCCTGGAAGTGTTCCAGGCCAGGTTGGATGGGGCTTTGGACAACCTGGTGTAGTGGAGGGTGTCCCTGCCCATGGCAGGGGGGTTGGAACTGGATGATCTTTGAGGTCCCTTCCAACCCAACCCATTCTGTGATTCTATGATTTATATTTCACCTTAGTTGGGAAAAGGACAGTATCCAGACTAGCTAGGTCCTCCTCTCTGCTGGGAGTACGTGGTGCTCACGTGAATGGATGGAACGCTACGGCAACGACCACGGCATAAAACAACGACAGTGAAACGAGCTGTGCAACACACAGATTCCTAATTGTGTCTGGCTGCAATCCTGATTCAATGGCCTCGTAGCCAACCTCGAAGAGTCTTCCAACTGCTGTACAAAGATGTGCTCGGAAACGTCAAGGTGAAACATGGAAGAGGCACTCTTGGAGGAAACCCCAGATTTACTAAAAGCAGGTATGGACAAAATATTGAGAAATTATTCTGTGTGAACAGCTTTCTTCCTGAGGATTAGCATTCTATATTCCACGTGATACCAAAAAAAAGCCCAGTTCTGACAAAAAAAAAAAACACATTCAGATCTAAGCTGCAAAAGAAAGAGCACCAACAGTCTGAAGTAACAAAAAAAAGCATCTTTGTAAGACTTAAGCCAGCCAGTTCAGCGTTACCTATCTGCAGTTTCCAGAAGTTTCTGAACTATTAGCTCAAACGAAGAGGATAAGCAGTAGGTTGCTGGTTCTTCCTGATCATCAGCTACATCTGCAGCTTCATAGGCAGCTTCAGCAAGACTAGAGAAGGCCTGAAACACAGAACAACCATTGCTGTTACTTGAATGAATTTACCCTCACAAGTCCAGAAACGTGCATTCCAACAATTCTCACTCTGACAAAACAAAGAGGGGAGATTTAGATGAGATATAAGGAAAAAATTTTTCACTCTGAGGGTGGTGAGGCACTGGTACAGGTTGCCCAGAGAAGCGGTGGCTGCCCCATCCCTGGAAGTGTTCAAGGCCAGGCTGGATGGGGCTTTGGGCAGCCTGGTGTAGTGGAGGGTGTCCCTGCCCAGGGCAGGGGAGTTGGAACTGGATGATCTCTGAGGTCCCTTCCAACCCAAACCATCCCGTGATTCTAACCAAAAAACCCCAAACACGTGCAGGAGTAATGACTCCCTTCAGGAACAGCTAATTGTTCAGTGCACTGAACTTTGCTGCAACAAAAATTGAAAATTTCAAAAATTTAAAACGTGACGTTAACATTAACACACAGGCAGTTGCCCCGTCTGCAGCCAAACGTCTGCACAGCCCTACTGGTCTCAACAACTGGTAGCTGTCAAGAATCCAACTGGAGGAAGGCAGATGGCTTGAAGCTCACGGGGTATTAGCAGGTTCTACCCACTGTCATCACGACAAGTTAAAATCCTGGTTTTATTGTAACTGCTCCGAGAGACAGGGGGATTACAGGAGGAGAAAGGCTGATTTTCCTTTCAGTCTGAAAACATCAGAGTAGTCATCATCTTCAGAAGACAAAAGCCACAGTTACATGGACTTTTGGAGGATCAATGGATTGGGGAAAAGCTTCCGTGCTGACTAGAAGTCTTCAAACCTCTGGAACACTAAGAGAACAAATTCTGTCATTTCTGAAACTTGTTTTGACACGTAAATACTCATCTCTAGCTCAATTCCTATTGAGCAGCTCTCTTAAAAGGCAGTAAGGGACACCCCCTCTTTCTGGTGAAAGCTCAGATGTGCTGCTTGGCGGTAGACATGCATCAAGACGACGATATGACTGAAGTCAGCAAACCAGCCCAGGGGACTGCAGCTCTGTCAGTGAACAAAAACACCCTCATGGTCCTCAATTTAGTTCTGGAATCAGTGCAGAAGCAGGCTTAGGAAACGGGAAACAAGGTATCTCGTCTCTCCCTTGAGATTGAGAAGGCAATCCAGCTGCCCTCAAGAGAAATGCTAAACCCCAGCACGCCTTTTCTACACAGCCATCACACCTCTTATCAAGGACAGTTTCAAACCGAAGGCAACTTCTACACTCGGTGAATATTAGCATTTTTCTCCTTGAAGTCCATTCCTTCCTTTACTCTTTCCTACCAGAGCCACCAAACAGCCTTGAGATAACTTTCAGCTAACGACAGCTGTGCGTGCTGATGACCAAGCCATGAGTCACCTCAAACACATCCAAGTGTGCGAGCATATACACGTATACGTGCACATACATGTATGTACACGTGTGTGTGTTCATACATATGAACATGAGCCACATTCCCCTTGTCGACCCAAACTTAGCCCACGTCCAACAGCAGAGGGGCTGCCTTACCCAGCACACGTTGGAGGCCACTCTGGGCTCAGCGCTCAGGCCCTCCATCAGACACTGCAGCAGTGGAGCGAGGTAAATGTCATTGATGGCAGCTTCAGGAAGCATCTCACAGATCCTGCCCACGGTCCAGGCAGTTGTGTCTCGAACCACAACGCTGGGGTCCTTCATTAGCTCTATTAGAGTTGGCATTGCCTACAACACAATTGCAGTCAGGAGAAAGGTGTGATCAAGTGCAACAGATGGAAAGACAAGTTTCTGATTTTAAAGTACTCCCTACAAGCTAGGAATAGATGGAGAGGGGAGGACAGTCTAGACCCAGTTAGGCCATTGTCCTCATATTTTAAGATTCATAAAGTTATTTCCCAGGGGGGAAAAACTTGAGAACTGACACATCTGGAGTCAGGTATTCTGGAGTCAAGCATGCCCCTGTGATTCAGAGCTATGTAACCCAACTACCTGCTCTAGGCCTACCAAATCTCTCTAAAACACGATGAAAAGGTGGCATCCTTTTGCTTTTCCTCGGATTAAGAACAATGTGCAAAGCAGGCATCCTCTTCCAAATAACTCAGAGGGTTTTTGCTCTACAAGCCTCCAAGAAAACACAAGGAATCTTACCTGTATGACTAGTGGTTTGAGCTGGTTAGGCTCTGGTCCTTCCAAAATGCACCCGAAAGCCATCACAGCTGCATCTCTGTATCGCCAGTCCGGATTTTTAATGTGTTCTTTAATAAAGGGCAGCACGTGAGGAACAATGTCATCTTCACAGCAGGTCGCCAGGAGCATGAGGCACACTCCTGCTGCTTTGCAGGGGTTCCAGTCGTCGTCGTCATCGTTTTCATCCTAGGAGAACAGCACCCCTGGTCAGCCTGGGGGAAAATATCCCTTCCCACTCACAAGCAGTGGCATCCTGTTGGATCTACTGCAAGTAACATCGCCTGATTACCAGCTGTTATATTTAGAAATTAATTCAGGTCTGACAGTACCAGCTACGTCTCTGGCAGGGAAGCAACCCGAATTACTTGCATCATCTGTACCTTTCCATCCTGATGTAAGGCTGCCAGCTCTTTACTGACGCACCTACAGCAGCCTCATACATCTTCCAAATGGCTTCTCTCTCATCTAGGTTGAAATTTCGTTCCTTTAATCCATGCCACCGCCTGGCAGAGTGGCCCAGCTGTACCAGTTAAATAGCTTCTCCGCCCTCCCACTGTTCCTCAGCCACTTACCAAATTCCTTTGAAGCTGTGTACCTGTGATGACTCTTATCTGGTTTATCTTTCCTGCTTTAACAGGCACTTTAGAACCTCCTGCAATTTAACTCTCCCCATCCGAGCCGACAGTGATACACAACCAGGGAAACAATTCCCCGGACTCGCTAGGAGCACCAAGCGTTTTCCCAGTTCATCACAGTAAACCCAAATGAACTCCATCCTGTATGGCTTAATTAACAGTTTTATTTCACAATTAGATCTGCTGTAGCAATTGATTCCATTAATTTCGATTAGACTGTGAAACACAGTCCAAACAAGTCCCTGTAAAGTGCTTAAAAGGTACTAAGTAAACATGGGCCTCTCAGTTCCAGAAGCACAGCTCAAGAATTCCAGAAACTGGATCTCAAACGATGCAGAGACTGTACACTGGTTTTAATTTTGCAACCATTTCATTAGGAATACAGGTAACTACCAAACCTCTTCAGAAACCATAAACACAAGCACGTGTTAGCAGAATTCAGCAGAAAAATGACAGTGGATGCAGTCTCCCAGTCTCAGCCCTAAAAATTGATGCATCATTCCCTCAGAGTGGTGCATGATGTCTCATCACAGACCAGGGACTGCCACCACCGGTGCACTGACCAAGGACACCCTCAAAAACCACCCAAGGGGACCTCAAGCACCTTCGGTCACCTTCACAAGGGAGCAGTGACCACCACCGACGGTTGGCTCCTCCATCCAACGGCGGCATCGCTGCCCCAGAACTTCAAAGGAGACCTCCTATGTGTTTTTTTTGACATGCAGCAGGGATTTTGGAACTCACCTGTTTTGTTAACGTCTGTGTTAGAATTGGGACCAAATACTGTAGTGCTCCCTTCGCGTAAAATTTGCTAGTGTGCTCCGGAGGCCTTCCTTGCTCTGCTGCCTAGAAAAAAGGGTTAGAGAATGATTCTCAGGGGCTATATAGGAACAAGGTCTGAACTATGAACTCCAGTAGATACAAATTCTCTTTTGCAGGCTTTCCTCTCCTTCCAACACAAACTTTGAGTTCATAGAAATCATGGAATGGTTTTGGTTGGAAGGGACCTCAAAGACCATCCAGTTTCAACCCCCCTGCCATGGGCAGGAACACCTTCCACTACACCAGGTTGCTCAAAGCCTCATCCAACCTGGCCTTGAACACTGCCAGGGATGGGGCAGCTACAGCTTCTCTGGGCAAGCTACCATAACACACAGGAACCTCCAGGACCCCCTGCATCAATCACAGTTCAGTATTCACCAAGCAAGTTCCATTTACCAGCCCATACACAGAGAGCCTCCTCTCACACAGCACAAACGTAAATATTTCCAGTTTGCAGTTATGAATAATTAACAAGTGACCCCAAGCAGATGCAGCAAAAGGTCTTCAGCATATAAACTGAACCTACATGCTGCTGACTGTCCTTTTATCCTCGCTATCCTTGCTTTTTTTGGGCTTTCAACATAAATATATATTTAGCTGCTTTTTAAGATGGGTATGATTCATCTGGAGCCCTTCAAAGTTTAAGCTACTATTGATCTGCACAGCTGATTTACGCAAACAGCACCTGCATGCAGAACACCACCCCAAATTCATCTCCAGCCCCATCCATTGTAAAGGATAATGATTAATTTATTTCATCCCATAGCTTTATACTTAACTCATAATAAATAATGTATTATGTAGAAAGCAATCAATCTTTTTGCACACTGGGGCAGGACTAAGTCACTTGCACCTCTAACAGACCCCAGAAATCCTACGTGTCAGCGTACCAGAGCCCACCAGGCTTCCAATACAGCAAGTAATTCAAGAAAAACTCTCCCTTCAACATATCTCAACAATTCGAGATGCTGTCTCAATGAAGCAACAGCTCAAAGACAGAACGATATTGATAATTTTGTAGTACTGGACTGTGCTTAGTACAGGTAAGAGCTTAGCGTGCGTTTAGGTTAACCTTACTGGAGTAGCTTGAGTTGACTTTGGAATGCTAAAAAGAAATCAGGTAGCTGTCAGGTACCATTTGCAGAAAACTAGCACTCGTATGTCACGGTGTGTTCTCATCAAACCTGTCAGAGAATCTTTATCTCTAGTTTCAATTCCCAGCCAGGCTGGCATTAAAACCATTTTGCTCACTTAAAAAGGCAGTTCGTCCTAATCTAATCTAGCAAGAAAAAGGGATTATATTCAAACCACAATAATAACTTTACATTAGGCTACAGAGCCTAGAAAACAACCTAAAGAGTTATTAAAGGGAATTCCAAACAGCAGCTCCTCCACAACCTGAGCCACGAGCTCCGCGTTCACCTCCAAGGGCAGAATAAATTAATCGTAGCTGAGCCCTGGGTAAGGCAGCTGTGAGTACCCAGGTGAGCAGCTAAAAGCTACGGTGGGCACCACACCACCGTGCTGATTCCGCAGCGCACAAAATGCAGCCTCAGGTCTCAGCTTCCACCACGGACGTGCGTCACGTCGCATCAGAGTGGTGCACGACGTCTCATCGTGGACCCACGAGTGCCGCAGAAAGGGCTCAGAGGGGCTGCTCCCCCACGCCATTCCACTTGGGAGAACAGGAGGACTTTCAGACACAGTTGAAAGACATCACTTCAGCGTTCTCAGCCTGATGATCGTGGGCATTCGGTGCTTTCCAACAGCCATTTGCAAGCTCACCTCAGATGCCTCTATAGCCAGGTCCATCTCCTCGTCGCAGACGTTTGACCAGAACTCTATCCCCTGTAGAGCCACCTCATCTATGTCACTTTTCATTGCTTCAATAGTTATCTTTAGAAACATGAAAGAAAGGAGAGAAGAGAAGGACGTTTTAGCGTGTTATTTCTCCCGAAATACGTGCCCCAACTTTCGGCCAACTGGTGCGAGACTGGTACGAGATTCAAGACCGCCTGAAATCACCACATTGGAGTTACTGTTCTTGAAGACAATCTCCTCATTTAGAAACTTATCAGCACCTCAGGAGGGCTGCAGAGCACGTCACACAATCTGCACTGTCCTGACTTTTGGAGTCTCCAGTCTGAAATACCTGACACTGGTTTTACGGATTTTGCTGGAAAAGAGAGATTCACAGCACACAGCTGCAGCCAAGGGGAAGAAAAGCAAATCGGGAACGTAAGGAAGCTTCTCCTCTTGGATTAAGACAAAGGAGTGCAGGAAGATCAGACAACTGTATAGGAGAAATTCGAGTACTCACAGCAAAAAGCGCGGGACCCATGTACGTCTCCATATACTGGTAATAAAGGGACATTATCTTCACCAGATTCTGTAAGGCAGCCACTCGTACCTGCCAGAGCAGAACACAGATCAAAGACGTGACCTTTCCGAGTGCCTTGAAAGCCAAGCACAGCTGTAGCCTGCCACAAATCAATAACCCAGCCTGTCTGCTGATTTAGTCTACTCCACACCTAATAAAGTCTCTTCTTAAACCTTCCTAGTAGTTTACTACTACTAACTTCAAGTATAAAACCCATTTTGTCCAAGTACTCACATGTGCACCAGTCATTTAAGAGAATGCTGTTTATTTCATGTAACACTTTTCAACAGTTTTCTGATGCTAGAGGTTCTAGCCAGCTTCCCCAAAAAAGGAGCAGTGACAAATCACAGCACTTTTCACCCACCCTTGCATCATTTTCACTCACCCTTGTATCTGGACACTGTGTTGCTTCACAGACTACTTGCATAATAAAGTGCCTTTCAGACTGGAAGAAGAAATAAAAGAACATTAGAACTGTATTACAAAAGCATTAAAGTCTTTGCAAGCCTTCCTATGGAGGATGTGTTTTGAGTCTGGACTAGTACAACCACTCACACAGCACTTCTAAAGATCAAGGAATAGTACAGGTTACTACTCACTGCAGTATTTTAAATCATTTCTTCCCCAAAATGGGAATATCAGGCTTCCATTTTAAAAAGCCTTTAACAGGCTGCCCAAAATAGAAAGACACAGCAGAACTAAAGACACTAGTTTTTCCTGTAAAATAAAAAAAAAAAAAAAGGAGAGGGGAAAAAAAAAATATTCTACTGTTTGCTGAACTATTTCAGCAATTGCTTCAAAAAAACTTAAAACTCAGTCAGGACTTCCCAGGAGAAGTACCTGGATATTCTTGCATTTCAGTAGGAAGGAAGAGACTCATGCCCAGGCTATTCACAGTACTGAAGACCAACAGAAATATGGTCTGAATGGATCAGGCACCTCCCTCCCATCTCACATTTTGAAAGACTCTGGTTGACCCCCATCAACATCCACCAAGTAGCTGACTGGGGAAGGTTTTCACCCAAAGACCTTCTAAGCTGAAGGTTCAATATTAATTCCATGCTCTCCCTGGTAGGGACCAAGAGAACGGACTTGATCTGAGAAGGAAAAGAGAAATCAATAGATTTTTCTGTACTGAAAAGATTCTCACTCTGAGGACTCTATTCTGAAGACTCTCACAGGCCTTCGTCCCTCAACGATTTTCAGAGGCAAAGTTAAATCTGGATTGTTGCCACACCACTCGAAAGAAAGTGCTGATCCAAGCTTGTCCTCCTACAGCAGCATTATGGAGCAGAGTTTGATGAGGAAGCAGAGCATCCAACAGGCTAAACTCTAAGGTCAGTTCAAATTTATCCAAAAAAAAAGAGTCAACAATGCTGCCTTTCCATTGATGAATCCCTGAAGATTTCCACAGTATTCCTGCATTACAACAGGAACATACCAGGTTCACAGGAACGAATCCAAGTCTCAGTTGCAACGAAATTATGCATCAAACCTCAGCGTGGTGCATGATTTCTCATCACAGACCGTGGATTCAGGACAGGAATTGTTACCCTCTCCCCCTCACCTCTTTGTCAAAGTTTGCTTTGGTGAATTCCAAAGAGTTCAGGAGTGCATTAGTAGCTGCTAGCTTCACATTGTTGCTGGGCTCTTCCTTTCTCATTCCCTGGATGATGGCTGTCAGGATTTCATTGGATTTGTCCTGAAGCTGCTCTGGATCCTAGAAGACGTGTTGATAAAGTTATTTGTCAGCTGAACAGTTTTCTCTGTATTTTAAAGCACCCTCAGAGCTCGATCCTGAAATCTACAAGCAGAATTTTTAGGACTTTAAGGCCAAGAAGCTCTTTGCTCCCTGGGAGCACCAGGACACAAACACAAGGAATTCACACACCGTTATGTCTTTACAGCTTCTGGGACAGAAAAGACTGAACTGAGAGCACATATTCCAGAGATTTGAGTCACAAATGCCAAACACACACGACTGTTTCCAATAACGGATCAACAAGCTTCAGACTGCTTGACTTCATTTAATTAGCAAGTTAAAAACCACTGACTGTTTTCCAGTTCCTTCATACACTGGACAGAGGTCTACACCAGCTGTTGCACTGGATACTTTTATTGGTGAAGTTGCCAGTCTTTTACAGGTATATGGCAAAAACATATTGCCTGGACCAGCGGCAAGGACAGGTGACTGCTGAGCACTCAAGGCTTGAAGAATAAAACTGTGAATATGGATTAATTTTTCTTTGGAATAAATTTAAGACAGCAAGACCTCCAAATAACTGTATTAATTGTTACATCAGAGTTTATCCAGCAGTAAATTCCCAAACTACGGCCATAAATGGTGTCACAAAGTGACTGACACGAACTACAAAACTCTTAACCACCAACCAGGGCATCCGAAGATCCCAAGACCAACAATCCATGTCACCCGAGCAAACAACGAGCACGTGCTTATCCTTACACGGATTTGGAACACCACCACCATCACTTGACCTGGAGCACTCCCCTCCACAGCTGTAGATTTCCTTCTTTATTTCACTGACCCTCCATGAAGCCACCGACCTCCCCAGTGAAACCGATCCGCTGCTCCCCATGGAAGCACCAAACAGAAGATTTCTCCTTCTCCCTCGTTATCCTGAGGTCCCACCAGCGATACGCCACACGTGCCTTCTCCAAGGCATTCAGTGGCACCAGACAAGCAGCAAATAATTTTGTTTTTTAGCTCAGACAGGGTTTTTGCAAGCAATTCACATCAGGTACTTGATGCATCACGATACCACAAACTACCCTGACCAAACCATGAGACCTTCTGTAGAAGGTGCCTCAAAGAGCTAAATATTCTTGCCTGTGCATCAAAATATCCTAAATTAAGAATATAGAGACTCTTCACACAAGATGAAGGTAGTTGTCAGGTTTCCTCAACACAGAAAGGACTCACGTATCACTCATCTGTAACATTCCCCACAACTGGAGGCTCAGTTGAGGTTCTACACCACCCCCCTTCACCATCCTACGGCCGCAGCGACGCGCAGGCTTCCATCTGCACCTTCTGACAGACGACCCGGATCTGCACCGCGAAAGCGGGTCAGTCCTTGCAGACACCACCCCTGCGAGTTTGCTGCCCATCGGCACGGAGACATCCTCCAGACTAGTGTTAAAAGACAGGGACAAGGGACCACCACGGCCTGCTAGACAGAGGGGTGTAGGAAAGGGAAGGCTGGAGAGGTTGGTCAGCACTTAAAATACACTCAAGATAAAACAGGACTTAAAATATACTCACGATGTCCTGACAGATGTATCCGATGGCCTCCAACGTCGACTCTTTCATGTGCTCCGTGCTGTGCTGATTCGTAACGTTGGCTACCAACTGGGGAATGAGCTCGGGCCACTGGTTCATGGGGATCTCGGCGCAGGCGATGCCGGCCACGCACTGGGAGGCTGAGCTGGGCCGGTACGTTTCTGTGCCCAATGTCTGCAGCACCTGCGGGAGAGACGAGCCGGCGACGGTCTGATGTCAGTGACCAGGGAGATGGGCGCTCCCCAGTGAAGCTCCTTCTGCCTTCTCCCGCTGCCCACGAGGCCGTGACCGTGGACAAACAACATCTGAAATGAACTTGGCCATGGCTGCCCCTTCCAGGAAGGGAGATCCAGCTGTGTGGTCACACACACCTCCACCACATCCTTTACATCCCATACACAACGCCGCGCGCCACAACACGCGACCGTGACTCACTGCACGATTCCTCCTGGCCCCCACCATACAGCAAACCCCAAACAAACTGTGCTTTAAAAACACCCCCCAAACACCGGACTGGTTATGCCAAGATCATCTAAATAGGACTGAATAATTGGACTGAATAATTTGTGTTCGTTTTCCTTGCAATCAATCAGAAGAATGACTTTTTTTTGTACACTTAATATCTGTTTCTGAAAAAAAAACCTGAAGGGGCGTGCATTTCTTTCAGCATTTCCAGTTATACCTCTTCATTTTCCATATATCCACTAAACAAATACTGCATTTCTAATGGTAATTGACAGAAAACAGTAACAAACTGGTTTTGTCAACAGTATGACAGCTCCTGTTAACTGTCAGTTCCCCCTTTAGCTATCATCCATGTAAATAAAAGGTTGAAGTTGATCATCATCACTCCCCAACCTGATTCTGTTAACACAAAATCATCACAAAGCGCAGGGCCAACATGTATCAATTACAAAATGCTGGGTACATCCAGGCTTTGGCACCAAAAACCACTAAGCCACCAGTTCTGCCATTGCAAGCCCTCAACGATCAAAGAACACGGGGGTCCTCAGGCAAATTTCCCCATCTGTGTGAAAATTTCAGAATATAATTTCCCCTTTGGGACTTGAAAGTTTTGGACCATATTCTGCTCTGAAAATTTGCGAGGTCTCGTGTAAACACGGGTGTTGTGACAGAGAACACGCTTCAAAGATGTCAACGTGGACCGTACACCAGCTGAGGGAACTGCTCCAGCGTAAGGAGAAGCCAACACCAACCCAGCTGCAATCACCCCGGGGGAAGCCATGCCCACGAGATCCTGCAACCACAGGAGACTATCCAGAGGCTCTTTGCAGAAGTATTTACAGGTGTGAACCTAAAAGTAGCAGCCTCTATACCTGTTTGGTTTTTTACTCTAATAATTCTACCGATTAAACACGCTACAAGCAACAGAGCAGCCAAGCAAGTGCAGAGGATGTTGCTTGTCTCATGAAAGGGAGCAGCCAACCAACGGAAGACTCCTTAGGTGGAAAAGGATGGACAAGACGTTCACGGCTCATCCCTCGCTGCCAGACAACAACCAAGAACCAGAAGCCACCAAAAGCCACCAGACTTACGTAGTTCTTGACCTCCCGGCGGGCGTTGGCGTCGATGGCGAGCCATCTCTGCTGGTACTGGGCCTTGATGTCGGGGTCCTTGGACGTCAGGGAGTTCTTGATCTGCAAGCCAGCCGCTACGCGGGCAACCTGGCTGTTGCCTGGGTTTGCCAGCACTCGGGACAGTTCCACCAGGAAGGTCGGCTGCGGAGAGAGGAGGGCTCAGCACCTGCCCCTGCCCCCCAGAAAGGGAAAAAAAAAAACCCTGTCCACCCAGCAAAACCACACCACGACTCACGGGAGCTCCTTCTCCACCAACCCAACAGCAAAGCAACGCCGGCGGCTCTATCCCGAGATTACGGGCGTTAAGCTCCTAACCGGAACCGCTGGAAAGCGCCGTAAGCAGGCGTGGACTTGGTTGGGGGTTTTTCCCAGCTTACTTCAGAGACTGTCACCTTCCGTGCTCCTGCCTGCTTTCAGCATTCCTTTAAATAAGCTACTCGGGTCGTACGCCAAGATATGCATTTTCTGGATGGATATCAAACGTGGCGAAGAGTAACTCCGCTGCTTATTTCCTTGCTTCCAGGCAAACACCCAAACTATAACCTAACCGAGGAATTGTCAAAATGTGAAATCAGATGCTCCTCTGGCGCATCACAAGGTTACAAACTCGCTTCTCTGCCGTCAGAGGAACACAGGCACACACGGAGGTTGCCCCCCACAAAAAGCAGGGCGGGGGGATAAAACCACTTGACTCTAACGCCACTTGCTTTTGGTGAGAGCGAGTGGGAAAAGCCTCGGCACCAAAATCCCTTCCTGGTATCACAGCTTCACCTTTCCCAGCCTTCCACTGCGTCCACGATGCAGCCAAAGCTCCTGCAGCGAAGCTTTTCCATTTCCAAGCGTTTT